CGGCAAGTACCAAAAATAAAAGTATCGGTATCGGGCGAGTACTGGAAAAAGTGGTATCGGTGCATCCCTACTTTAGACCTTAGCCAATGCTGACGTCAGACCGTGTGTGTGCGCGTACTGTGTTTCTTTCCTGTCACTCGTCTTGTTAGTGTCACAAGAACCTGCCTGGGAGGCCTAAGGCTCAGGTCACCTTGGCGCTTCAATGGATTTTGTATTTTCGTCACTTTTTCTACATTTTAGTTTAATATTTTGTTGCTGTTTTTCCAATGTTTTTAAAATCTCCCAAGTCATATCTCACAGCCATCAGCAGCTCCCTTAAGTACATCTGCATCTCACCACTGATAAAATGGTGGATTTTAGATGTAAATTGTGCAGAGCTCAGTTGAGTTGTAAAATCAGCTCTATAGGAAGCACTATTTTAGGGCTTCAATTAGAACTCTTGGCTTGGCATGCCTGGAGATCACAAACTCTGACTTTGCTGTCTGTTTCATTTCAGTAAATGTTTCGATCAATTCTAGCAAAGATATGTAAGCAAAATCACACTAGTAGAAATCAGAATGAAATTCAGAATCAGATTAAAGCACCAGAACACAGTGTTACATAAAACCAAACAAAGTCCATACAGTATTACACCAGAACAACAAAGATCTACATTACACAACTACTTGAACTTTTTATGCTGTCCATTTGAGACATTGTTTCTTTGTTTATTGTAGGTGGTGTCTATGGGTTTGTATATTGGAGAGCAGGCGTACTTGCGCAGCAGTTGGAACGTTTTGGATGGTTTCCTGGTGTTTGTGTCTTTGATTGACATTGTTGTGTCAATGGCGGGCGGGGCTAAGATACTGGGGGTGCTCAGGGTTCTTAGGCTTCTGCGCACACTGCGCCCCCTCAGGTACAGCCAAAAGAATTGCAAGCATTCATGTGGCATTGCCCAACATATGCTTGGTTTATAACTTTGTAGATGCTAAATGGTAAATGTTTTTGTTCCCTTCTGACAGGGTTATCAGTCGAGCTCCTGGCCTCAAACTGGTTGTGGAGACTTTGATCACCTCTCTAAAGCCTATAGGAAACATTGTTCTCATCTGCTGTGCCTTTTTCATCATCTTTGGCATCCTGGGAGTCCAGGTAAAACATCTTGTCCATTCAAACTGAGAAGACGTGCTACCTCAGATGTTTCAAAAGAGGATTTTGAATGCAGCTTTTTAAAATAAATATTTGAAAATTGAGTTATTATGATTATTGGCAAAATGTACAAATACTAAAACCATGTGGCACTGAAGACAGGACTAATGGCTGCTCAATATTCAGCTTTGCCATCACGGGAATAAATAACATTTTAAAATATAATAAAATAGAAAACGTTTTTTTTTTTTTATTGAAATCATATTGCACATTACTGTTCTGACTGTATTTTTGATTTTTTTTATCCAATAATTGCATCCTTGGTAATAAAAATGTAAAATATTTGAATGGTAGTGTTTATGTCTTAGTGTTTCTATTTATTTATTTTTTTAAAGCAAATTTAATTCAGATAATTTGGGATTTGAACCAGGGACCCATTGTGTGCTGAACAAAAGCTTTCTTTTGCCTTACCTTACCTTAGGTGTTTTGAAAGATGTTTTTTTCTGCCACTGGTGCCCCCTCAAAAAAAAAAAAAAAAATAGATCAGTGATGCCCCTATGGAAGCCCGTTTCCGCCACTGAATAAAAACATATCATTAATTCTGTAAGTCATAATAATGAGAAACTTTCTCAAAATTATGACTTAGTATCTCGTTATATTGAGAAACTTTCTCGTAATAATTACTTAGTTTCTCGTAATAATGACTTAGTTTCTCGTAATAATGAGAAACTTTCTCGTAATAATGATTTAACCTAATCCACAAAAAAAAACAAAAAAAAAAGACTTACTCGACGCATGCGCAACGCAAGAGTGACAGCACGCTAGCGACATCTGTTGGTCAAAGCCATGCAGGAACACCGCAAACATTGCTTTGTTCTGTAATCTAAAGTGTATAATGCTATAGTCTGTCATTAAATAACGATTTCAGATAAATTATCTGTATGTAGTCTTTTGTGTAATAGTTACACTCTTGCGTTGCGCATGCGTCGAGTAAGTCTTTTTTTTGTGTGTGGATTAGGCTAAATCATTATTACGAGAACGTTTCTCATTATTACGAGAAAGTAAGTCATTATTACGAGAAAGTTTCTCATTATTACGAGAAACTAAGTCATTATTACGAGAAAGTTTCTCATTATTACGAGAAACTAAGTCATTATTACGAGAAAGTTTCTCATTATTACGAGAAACAAAAAAAAAATAGATCAATGATGCCCCAGGGGGTCCTAATGCCTTTTGTCTTTTTTTCCTCCAGATTTCCTGCTTAATCTCACTATCATACCCGTTCTCTCTTTATCACCACTGCTTTCACATTTAGTTTCTTTTCATTTTGTGCTCATTATTAGTTCTTATTCCATTTTAGTGCCACATCTTGTTCTTTTTTTCATAGAGAATGTTTTCTTATTCTGTCCTGATCTTCTTTCATAACACTCTTTTTCTTTCAAATATCCTCTGCTCTGACAGTTTTATTAAAGAGATGCTTGAGTAGTGTGGCGTTGAGTGACATGAAGTGTGTGCTATTTCTTTTGCCTCAACAGCTTTTCAAAGGCAAGTTCTACTACTGCTTGGGCCTGGATGTCAAAAACATCACCAACAAGTCTGACTGCCTCTTGGCCAATTATAAGTGGGTCCATAACAAGTACAACTTTGACAACTTGGGGCAGGTTAGTTTGTTCTCTGACTGGGCTTATCAAATTGCATGACAGATTCACAAAATTCCTAATATTGAGCAACTCAATTTGTTGCTTTGTTTGATGTACCTTTATCTGTGTGCATCTATAACAGAATTACCTCTCATGGTTCTTTACATCACACATGGTTGTCTATCTGTCCCTGCACCTTTTTTGTCTGTACAACCCCCATCTGTTTTTGTTTGTCCCGCTTCTCTTTCCACCCATCTCCATACTTCTGCGTGTTTTTGTATGTGCTCGTATGAATGTGTGTTTATGTTTTACAGGCCCTGATGTCCCTGTTTGTGCTGGCATCGAAGGACGGCTGGGTCAGCATCATGTATCATGGTCTGGACGCAGTGGCAGTGGACCAGCAGGTAATGCTCTTCATGTAACATGCTTGCTGCCATAGGCGGATTAACCATATGGGCAATTGGGCAAATAAATGGTCTGCGGTAAAACAAGCGATGTATTCTCAAACGTCTATCTAGCCGTGGCCTATACATAGGCTACCCTTTCATCAGAACATACTAAGTTCTCTTAAAGTTTTATAAAAGTTTTTTTTTTTTTTCTCATGCATGAAACAGAGGATGCTCGATCTATTGCCAGATTCACATATAGGCTATCCTACTGCGTGAACCCGTGCGCTTTCGTTTCGACGGCCATATATTACTAAAACGGATTCTAGGAGCATGCTGTCGCGCAACTCCCATCTCTTCAACTGAAATGCCTCGCTCATGGATGTGTGAATCCGCTACGGAGCGTCAGCCTTGCACTTTCACGTTGTACTTTGCAGCCATTGGCAATCAAGAAAAGGGCAAAGTGTAAACGAGTGCGTTTGTAAGTTTTATTTTCAGTTCAAATCCTCACAAAACTATATGTAGCTATATACAGTGCTTAACAAATTTATTAGACCGCCCGTCAAAAACTTGTTTAAAACTAAAAATCATTGGGCAAATAACAAACTAAAACAACTAAATAGTCTTTATTCACACATAATAACCAAAAACTAATAAACCAATAAATATAAATAGGCTATTTTATTTTTATTTTGTATGGCCTCCTTTGGCCTTGATAAAAGCTTGCATTCTTGCTGGCATAATTTTTATGCACTTTTCCACAGTCTCTGTTGTTACTGACTTCCAAATAGTTTCTAGTTGTTCCCAAAGACTTGCTTTTAAATTAAACTTTTGTGCAATCTATCTTAGAATCATTCAATCCCAACAATAATTATATTTTAGCATTAGAAACACTACTGTGACTAAAGATCTTACACATACTGGTGGATTAACCATTACAGAAAAATAACAATGGTAATTTTGGTAATCACCAATGCTTAGTTTAGGGCAGCTGTGGCATAAACCTATTGGGTGGTGGCCTAATAAATTTGTTAAGCACTGTATATGTAATTGCAAACAAGGCCATGC